AAAAATTTGGCGTTCTTACCGCTCCTCCCGTTCCTCCGACATACTCAAATATCTCTGATAAATTATGTAGAAGTTGCTGTGCACTGGTAAACGGTAACGTCTCCATTCTTTCCATGATTGCTGCAAAAAACAATCTTTTGCTTTTAATATATCCTGATCTAATGCTACATTCTTGTAGCAGGAATGACTAACGTAAATGCAATGCATTTCCCTCATATGGAGGCCAGGCTGGTGTCAGTAAACAATTATGCACATGCACTCAGTTTTGCTTTTTTACTTTGATCTTACAGAAATTCTACTATTCAGTAATTTTCTTACTTCGTGCAGCCTGTGCGAAAGTTGTTCCACAATCTCCATCTCCTGCAGCACTATCGAGTGCATTCAACTCAGCTTCCATAGCTATCATCTTTTCGCAGACGGCATTTACACATTTTCTGCCAATGTCTTCTTGCTCTGAACACCTCCACCTTCTCATTCTTACTTTTCTACTAGAGTGCAGGAATGAGGTAATCGAATCACCTTTTGTAAATAATACACCTCCACCTGAGTACTGCAAAGTAGATAATTCTCCCTTCTCCGGAGGTGCTGCTTTTGGTTTTCCAAGCTTATCCGGTACATGCCATCCTGGGGCAGATGTGGGTGCATCGAGTAATTCCAGGATTTCTTCATCGAATTGTTTAAGGACAGTGAGGCTTATACCATGCCCATCTAAGGAAGTCATGTAGGTGCCACAGAGAAGTCGTGCAATGGTTATGCTGTGCTGAACTGAAATTAAACATTTCAAGCGATAGATGGGGAGTTTTTTGATTGGAACTTACGACACCACTTGACCGCTTCGCTTTTAATAATACCCATTTCCAATTGAGACACCCCACCAAGGTTATTGATAAGTAGCACAATAGGCTGATCTGGAAAAAAAATGCGAGTTGTTTGAGTTGCTTAAAGATGAGTTGTTTTACCTTTTGTGAATTTCACTATATTTTGAAGTCTGTTCATTATTTTAGTAACAATTTTTCCAGCACTCATTACAGTTTCACGTTCACATCCTGGCTCTCCATGAATACCGAGGCCAACTTCCATCATATTATCGGGCATGTCAAACATTTTTCCTCGACCAGGTACGCTACATGGGTAGAGCGACACTCCCATGGTACCTAAACTTGCAAAAAAAGAAGATTCATGCTAGCACTTGTGAATGAATTGTACAAAAATCTGTTTACCGGAGTTTTCTACAATTCTTTTGGCCCTATTCTCTATCTGTTGAGCACTGTATTTTCCAGTCTCTGCCATTGCACCAGCCACCTGTGTTTTTGAATTTAATTTCTTTCACCATTCTGCGATAGATTGTCCACGTCAGGACTCGTATCCAAATTCTTGCCGACGTAGTCTTTTCGTGTGTGTAATTGATCAGAATAAGTTCATACGATGCGGCAAGCTTTCCTGTTTACGCCAAACGTTTCTATGCATCTCACTCACGCTAAAAGGCTGCGCTGTTTGCTAATGAAGAGTAGCTAGAGTCCATAGTTGGCCATGATAAGTTCATTTGTCTATTTGAGGTGATAACAGTGAACTTGGGGAGGAAGTAGAGCAAGTGAAGATGTTGATTTAAACTCAGTTATCCACCTTC